AACTGTTGATTTGTATATCCTGTCAGGTCGCTTTGATGTGTGCGAGAGATTGAGCTGCTGCCGGTAGTGGTTCTCTCTGTGACGCTGGGCAGCTCTCCAGCCGTCCAGGCCCAGTGCCCGGCCTGCACGGCGCTGTGCCCAGCCACAGGCCTGTGGGCCCTCAGGGCTCGGTAGTCCTACATTCACAGCCAGGGCCTGCAGAGGCACATTTTACTCCACCGCACACATGCTGTAGTAGCCTGGCAGTGGTGCCGGAGCAGCGTTTGAAATATGCTCTTCTCTGTGGGACTTGTGGTTTGATCACATGCTTCCATGTACTCAGTATTAACCTGGCTTCTCCACTGTCAGCTCAATGCTAAACGGAGGCCTAAAGAGATAGCAGATGGCCGCGCAGCATTTACAGGATGCACTACGACATGAGTGGACTCTTTCTCTGGCTCTTGTTTCAGTTTTGTGTTTAGGTGGTAAATTGAAGTTCCACTGTGTGTCTCGGCAGCATTTTATCTGATCAAGTGGAACACAAAGGATGTTGGCGAGGTCGGTTTTTTGTTTGCCCTCTCACACACATAACTGCGACATGGGATTTGGTGGCAGGGGAGCTCTTAACCCCCCTCATCTGACCTCCCTGGCTGTGTGTAATGAGGCGGGACGGGCTTTCTTCTGCAGGGTCCCACAGGAGGAACAGCCTTCAAACTGAGGGTCAAGCGCTGGTCGGCTCAACCTGCTTTTTCTGTTTAACTGAAGGTGTAATGATCTGTGGATACAATTAAAACTTCAAAAGAAATTTGTTCAAAGCCAGATGTTTACATCTGGAAAATTTTCAAAGGTGTGAACTCTGGGCTTCTGATGGTAATCTCAGCCTTTGCTTGTTTGTGTTTGTCGTCATCTTTTGGTTAGAACCTTGTAGTGCCTTATTTAGAGCCTGCAGGAGCCTTTTTCTTCTTTAAGGTAGTCCTGTGTTCTACCACTGGAGGGCAGTGTGTCCAAACTTTTGATTTGGACCTTGCCGAGCTGCTGGAATCTGTCATCCATATTTCAGGCTCATACAAAGGACACAAGGACACAGTTGAGTATTTTTTGGCATTTTGCCTTCATTAGATAGTGCAGCAGACACAGACGGGAAATGTGGGGAAAGAAGGCAGGGGAGTGACGTGCAGTGAAGGTCTGGCCAAGTGCGAGTCGATCTTTAGACTTGCTAAAGGCATTTTATTCCATGTATTGTTCCACTTGGCACTTGAGTTGCCCAAAGGATCCAAATTGAGGTTGGAAGAGGGTAGATCTGTTTGTTTAAGGGGCCACCGCAAAGATTTAAAGCTTAAACCAGAGGTGCCATAACAGAGTCTCCCATGAATGGACAGTAAATACAGACTCCAAAAAACTCTCAAACTGTATAGAATTCTATTTGAAAAAGGCCAGCGTCTATATCAAGACCCAAAGTCTCCCAGTTTAAGTTTTTTGTATGGTTGTATGGTATAGTTATGGTCCAGTAGTTAATCTGATATCTGTGATTGTTATTTTTATTTTATTTTTTTTATTAGCAAGCTGGCAACTTGGAGAAACATAGATGAAGGTTAAATTAGTAATCCTTTTGTTCATTTGGCCATTTTGCCAGTGTGTGGAAAGAGAGCAGGGAAATGACATTCAGTGAAGGTCAAGTTGGCCTGGAATTGAACCGGGGACTCATTGTAATGTAGCCATGTGGTGTTCACCCTGAACACTCAGCTATCAGACCAGTAGGAATCTATTTTGAATATGTTTCACGTAGACCGAGAATTGAAACTTCAAATTCACTTCGATCACCTTTCTCTTCCAAATCGGACTGAACTGAAACTTGCTCCCAAGTGTCAATCAAACCTGCTGCTTTCACTTTTACTGCTAAGATATTCTATGTCGAGTAGCTGAGGGGATGATTGCCATGCATGATTCAAAGTATAATCATCACAAGGGGAGTGGAAATTTTTACTTTTGTTGTGTGTTGATGCCATGTTAGCAGAATGGTGAAAACAGAAGGACCTCCCATTCATGTGACATTTGCCAGATAGTGACTTAATCAAAATGTCCTAATATCTTTCACTCATACTTACAGTTACCTCACTGATGTAGGCTACTTGTTCCCTCAATACTGAACAATACTTTCATGGACTGCAGGGTCTACTGTTGACTAGTCCAGCAGGGTGGTTCCAGTTAAGAAGAATATGTTAATACAGTGATATGTATTAAAAACACAAGGTGGTCCTACCAAAAAGGCTGAACCACACTCAAAAATTGTCGTACCACGCATTCCTAGTGGACTACTTTGTATTTTGAATGCTGTATTTCTGCTCTTTGTGTTGACAGGGAAATGGAATTTGAGATAGACGGATTGGTATAGTGTCAGCAGTAAAGTGGGCGTTGTATCAGATTATTGTGGTGAAGATGGAGCTGGGCCGAAAAGGCAAATCTCTTGATTTATCTGTTCATCTATGTTCTAAATCACAGTTTTGGTTGTGAGCTCTGGGTAGTGACCTAAAAACATGAGACCATGGATGCAAGTAGACAAAATAAGTTTCTTGCGTGGGGTGGCTGTACTCAGGCTTAGAGATAGGGTGATGATCATGGACAATCAAAGAGAGCTCAGAGGATAGTTGCTGCTCCTTCCTGTCCAAAGGAATCAGCTTATTCAGGCGTCTGATTAGGATGCCTCCTGGGTGCCTTACTTTGGAGGCTTTCGGGCCACGTCCAGCTTGGGAGAAAAATTCTCATTACATATCTCATCTGACATAAAAACGATTTGGGATCCCCCAGGAGGAATTGGTCGTTGGGTAGAGGGCATACAGAATTCCCAGTTTAGTCGGCTGCCACCATGACCTGACTTTTCAGAAAATAGACAGTTTGATGGATGTGATAATCATTGTGTGGGAAGATAAAATATCATCTGTCATTTTGAAGCGTTACAGGAATTGTTACTCAAATCATAATGCATTGAGGCTAAGACAACAGAATTAAGACACTTAGGACCACAGTGGTGTCTTAATGTTTTGGACATTCCATTAGCTGTTTGTCATGCTCCAAAGAGAACAGACCAACTTGACCCAATGACCATCTGAGAACACGGTTCATGTTTAGGCTCACCTTTTAGAAGACATTTCATAAAACAGTAGCAACACTGCTGGTGTGCTTAAAACTACTCTAAAGTGGAGTAAAACTGAACTTTGTAGCTTTAAAAATCCTTAAAAAGTGAAGCTTTATGACGCTCTTGATTGTTCACACTGATAAGAACACATCATTGCTATGTCCTGTGTCTGGCCAAGAAAACCACATTAAGATAGTGTGGACAACTTTGGAATCTTACTGTTTTACATCACCTTTCATTAGCCAATAGTCATTCTCCTCAGAGGATATACCGATTTGACCCACCATTGGATCGGAGAAGATTGTACATTTTTAGCTCAACTACCAGAAGACCTCCAATAAGACAATAGCAACAATGCTGGTGTGTTTAAAGCTTTTCTAGAGTGGGGTTAAACTAAACATTATAACTTTGATGAATCCTTAGCAAACCTTTAGAATTGAATTCTTGCCTCATATTCATGTGGTTTACATTAGAATTTGAAAAGCGCAACTCTCTGCTGTTCACACTGATAAGAAAACATCATAACTGTGTCCTGTGTCGGACCAAGTTAAACAGAATTAGAACAGTTTGGGCCACAGTGTAAACACAGCGTGTCACAGTGAGCACCCAGTGATGCTCCGGAGAGGCCTCCGTTCTCTGCCAGGGTAAACACCTCAGCTCATGAATACACACCACTCATCCACACCCTGCGCTGTTTTCCTAAGCCCTCTTTTCTCCTGCTTGCGAAAGAAGAAACACCACTTCTCACTTATTGGTTACCTCCTTCAGCTCGAGAGCAAATACCACGTGTAGGTCGCCTCATTTTTCTGTTTTGATAGGGTTGTCCAAGTCCCGAGCTTTGAATTGTTGCTTCGCGCTTCACATCGTTCAAAGATGCCGTTTAAAAGTTAGTGCACATCGGAACCGAGAGTAATGCTTTTTTTTTGTAGATCATCAGCAGTACTAAGTCATGTTTCCTGTAATTACAAACCCTCCAGATACCATTTTTATCACATTTCCTCTCATTACCGAGCAGCATTGGCCTGTTTTCTGGTATTCTTACACGGACATACCGTCATATGTTGCCAATCTGAATCTAGTGTCCATTTTCCTTCTAGATTATGGTTCATTCATGACTGTTTATATTCATGAGGGATTTCCAGAACATTAAATATATCTTCTGTGATGGGCCGAGATTGTGTAACAGACATAAGAGCACTGCCATTTTTAGATCTGCAGTTTACTGACCGGATGTACTGAAGGGCAGCTGGGAGGCTTCAAAGTGCCGAAATGCATCGACTGTTCCTCAGAAGTGGCTCCCTTTACTTCTGTGGAATCAAATGTGAAACAAAATTAAACAGAACAACACATTTTTGCATCCTGGAATCCTAGCTTTTAGAAAACTCTTTTACCTTTTTTACCTCGACATACTATTTTTTAATCAGAATTTATCCTTTGGGCCTTTTCTGCACATCAACTCAGCAGAAAAGTCTGCAGCCACAGCAACGTTCATCTGTAAACATTTAAATTGTTAAAGAGAAAAATGGAAGCACGTGTCCTTTGATGCTTTTCCAAAAAAATGCAGCTTTTTAGTGGTTTTACGGGATTCTGTGAAGAAGCTAATTGATTGCCATTGTCATTGATTTATTTCGGCCTCATCTTAAGTGCCGAAGTTGGCATTTTCTAAAACTAGCAATTTCAGGATTTTTGTGGTGTTTGTTTCCAACCATCCACCACTTTTTTGTGTGTGTGTGTGTTTTGTTGTGCCCTCACATAAATGCATTGTTTTATCTTTTGGGAACTCTCAGCCTTTCTGCTCCTCAAGGACTGTTATGTGACTTGAGCTAAAAGGTTGATTATGAAGCAAAAGCAACATTAATTCTGTGCCCATCTTTGTATCATTGTACAGATGACACTGGGACGTACTTCCCCAGCGTGAAGCGGGATCCGGGCCGCTACCTGCAGCCTTGCTCCGAGTCCGTCAAGACCTGGCTGCGCAGCATGAAGAACGCTGGGAAGGTCCTCCTCCTCATCACCAGCTCCCACAGCGACTACTGCAGGCTCATCTGCGAACACATCCTGGGGTAAGACTTGACCACACTGGGGACCGAGGACTGGCCCCCCAACATAACAAGACCAGAGCCTGGTCTGCAGCACTCACCATAACAGCCCCCACAGGATTTATAACCTGAAAGTCTCTGTGGCTGGCAGCTTTGGCTTTTTTTCTCTCTCTCTCTCAACTCACCACATTCCTTATAGCCCTCTCATGCCATCAGTCATTCCTTTTTAGTCAACTCTGGCTCGCATGTCAGCCTGAAGTTAGCATGATTATTACACACAAGCTACACATATGCTTCATGTATCCCAGGCAACCTTCTGGAGTCAATACTGAACTTTTCTTTTATGTTTTTTACGTGTCCGATTTCAAAAAGTGTGTGATAATACATCAGATGTAGCGTTTTGGGGTTGTTCTGCTACCATCATGTTGCCAAAAACTACAAGTCAGTTCCCTCACACAACAGAATTGACACCCAGGACTCCGTTTTTTTAGCTGTAGGTGTGCATCAAAAAAAGGGATTACTCTCTTAGCAGGGCTTTCTGCATTTTAACTGTGGCTTTGTGCACTACTGGCCTCCCTCTGTCCGCAGTGCACACTGTGTGGTTTAGGCTTATTTTTGTAGCCAAAGCCCCGTTTCACACTCGATCAAGCTGCAACAGGGCCTTAGAACAACACAGTGTCCACGGTGCTGCAGCGCTTGAACAAACATAAGCCCTTCTTGTTCCCTGTGAAGCGTTGTTATCTCACGCTGCTCCGGCCTGGTTAGGTGGTCTGCTCTTTTTCCCTCTTCACGCTCAGAGACGATTGTTCTCTGTCGTGAAAAAGCAGGTCAAGGTAAAGCCACTTCTTGCTTTGGCTTCAACCCCCAACCCCCTCTCTGTATTTCCTGTTAGGCTGCCTGGTCATTCCCGTTGTTCCTCACCCCTCTCTCCCCCCCCTGCTGTTTCACTAGCTGCCCTCACACTCCCCCCCTCCAACACCACAGCACAGCTCGCCTCCCAATGAGAGCAGCCCGAGACCCCCGCTGTGCACGAGTGTGTGTGCTCGGCATGCTTTACAAGGCCAGGGGATGCAGATTTATGTTGTGATAGCCGCAAGAGGAAATTAGGCCGGCTTTATCTCGCCAGAGGTGGTTTATGGCGAAGTGTTCGCACATTGGGTTTGGTCTGCTCTGAGATCTTTCCTGTTTTTTTTCCTGCAGCTAAGTCTGTGTACTTCAGGGAAATACACGAGTTAAATTCAGCACTAAAACAAAACCTCTCTCTTGTCAGCACTTCACTGTTGAGCCACTTTCGTTGTGAAAGAAGTGCGTCACTACATTCAACCTCGTCTTCCAGGGAAAAGCGTCAGTGACCCACGGTTGCTGCAGTGTGGCGATCCGGCCAGAAGCCAGTGACGGTCAGCTGTCAGAAATAACACAACAAAGCTAAAGCTGTCTGACAGGAGTCTACTGGCCAAAACCCAACAACCTATCCAGAGAGGCTGCTGTTACTATTTGGCACGACTGGATGAAGGCTTCTTTTTTTTATTTTTTTTATTTTGGTGGAGCACTGCATAGTTTATTGATTTAATAGTTGTTGTTAAGTCCTCTGATGTCAGTAGTTAATTTCTTGGTGAGATGAAGTAGCGAAAGTTCCCTTTCATCAAAGGCCAAAGATCTTTTCCAGCTGTGTGAAATAAGTTCCAACACGGTTAGTTTGAAGAAAGGTTTTACTTTTCAGAGGAATATTAACAAAGAAATACATTTTATAGTGAAATTTAAGGTTTTTCTTTTTACTTTGTTCACATGTCCATATGCTGTTTTTTTAATATGCTAGAAGCCACATCATGAGTGAAATTAGCAGTCTTTACAGATGCTAGTCCGAAAAACAAATTTAAAACTTCAATACACATGGATGAGTCTTTAGGGGAAGAAATTTATACACATTAAAATAAAGTGGAGTCAAAAATATTGTCAATGTGTTTCAACCAAAACTTCCAGGAATTTTAATTTCCCAGCATCTCTTGACCAAGAACTTTCCCAGGGTTTAAAGTTCTTCCAGCACTTTGTGATTTGTGTTTCCACAGAAGGGCCAAAACCCCGGGAAGATAAAAGAAGCTTGACGCCCTCAAAGTCTCTCTGAATGTCGTCCATTGTAAAAATGATTAGCAAACCCTGGAGTGTTTAGTCAGTTGGAAGAACCCCCGACTGGACCCTCTGTTCCGTAGTTGACCCACCACCCTGGAGTCAGTTTATCAGTAAGAGTTGGCAGCACTGAGTTGACTCTTACAATCCTGAGGCATGGACGGTACGAGACTTTAATCTACTCTAATATAGAACATACAAAACATACAAAAGGAACTTCAATTTCCCAAGATCTAATGTCCAGAAACTTTCCCTGAATACAGAGACTAATTTTAAGCAATTTTCACAACTGATTGTTGGTCACGTTAACAATCAATAATCAACTAATCGTTAACAGTAAATATATATTTACTGCCGCTGATTAAATATACTCCCAACAGGAGCATGTCACTGATAACGTTTGGCACTTTTCTTCTCATTTGATCAAAGCATGTCAGCTCTTTTGCTGCCTGACTTTTCCATTAGCATGAGCCT